AAGACATGACGAAAAATAGTATTAGTATTTCAAAAATATTGTGGGAGAGCATAAAAAATTCATCTGGGCCAACAGGTTCCAGAACACATGCTGGGAACCACTGCCTCATGGGCCCCAGACCTACCTACCACTTAGGAGGCAGTTTATATTGAGGGTAGAGAACTATGCCAATACTGAAACGTAAATCCAAGTTTCCCTTAGGATTAGCTAAGGTGACTATGATAGCTCATTCAATGCTCGATCACTTCTTACATTTTGAATGATTCTGAGTAATTACTTTAGGTAAGGAGTAACTAAGTGAATCTCTTATGTGTTAATCCTTACAGGACTTGCAGATAGTTAATCTGGACTCTACTGGGAATGCCAATCAGTGCTCAGTTTTCTTGTACTCATTTATCCAATTCTAAAGTTGCTAGAGTACAACGGGACCTGGAGAACCACACAATAGGTGACTGAGTAGTTGTATTAAATGTCCTGCAATGGCATTTTTTAAAAAGATTTATTTGAGAGAGAGAACGTGAGTGCAGGGGGAAGGAGCAGAGGCAGAGGAGAGAGAGAAACTCAAGCAGACTGCGCTGTGCGCAGAGCCCGATACAGGGCTTGTTCTCATGACCCTAAGATCCCAACCCGTGCTGAAACCAAAAGTTGGACTATTAACTGATTGTGCCACCCAGGTGCCCCCTTGCAAAAGGATTTTAAAATATACATACTATTTGATTCGGCATCAAATAAAAGAACAGAAGGCTATGTTATAATGCTAAGATACTGGGTTGCAACACCGATTATGTTCTGATTTTTTAATAGTTTATGGGGTGGGAGAGAAAAAGAAATCACCTCTAGTCACAAATGCTTCAAAATATGCACATATTCTTACATCAAATTACCACAGCCTGAAACTTTCCTGTATCTATAATAAGAAAAACTCACCAACATAATATAGTTTCAGAACCTACAGATTTAAAATACTTTCCCAGAAGGGATTAGTTTTACAACTTGTCAAAGAGCAGAATACCAGAGAGAAGAGACCCTGACAGAGAGCTCTGGAGACCTACAGCTCAGTTTTCAGCTGAGTACTTACAATCACATGTGAGTGAGGGAAGCCTAGGGAACTACCTTAGACCTTTCCAGAGACTGAAAAAAGACAAAACCCACACAGGTATGGGAATAGCTCACAATCCCAATGATCTCAAAAATATATGGGGTAGGCATGCCTGGCTGGCTCAGTCGGTGGAGCATGTGACTTGATCTCAGGGTTGTGGGTTCAAGCCCCACAGTGGGTGTAGAAATTACTTAAAAATTTTTTAAAAAATCTTAAAAAGGGGGGGAGGGGCTAGCAGGCAGAATACTCAGAAGGATACTGCCTCAATAGTGGGGCTGAATTAATTTAATGGGAATAATCCTGAACTTAAGGCTGCTCTAATCCTGCCTAACACAGCAAAAAAGCAAGCACTAAGAAAACTGTTCCAAGAAACTTCACTCATGACATCAGAACAAAGCTCAAAAATATTTAAAGGAATAGGGGCGCCTGGGTGGCTCAGTCGTTAAGCGTCTGTCTTCAGCTCAGGTCATGATCCCGGGGTCCTGGGATCGAGCCCCGCGTCGGGCTCTCTGCTCGGCAGGAAGCCTGCTTCTCCCTCTCCCACTCCCCCTGCTTGCGTTCCCCTCTCACTATGTATCTCTCTGTCAAATAAATAAAATCTT